AATGCATATTAGGGGTACCTCCCGAACAAAATTTTGGATTTTTTGCTCAAAAACGAACATTTTGTGTGGGAAGTATCCCTGATATGCATTGAAATTTCTTCAAATTTGCTAAGATTATGCAGTTTAGCAAGAAAATAAGATTTACAAGTTTTCACTGTGATTAAATTTCTACAACTACACATTTTGGGAAAAAAGTCCTATCAATTTCGAATCAACTGAACGCAATAAATTTTTGTTTGAAGTAATTTAATCATCATAAAGACTTGTGAATCTTATTTTCTTGCCAAAATACACAATATCAGCAAATTTGAAGAAATTTCAATACAATTTGAAGGTGCCTCTCATACAAAATTTTCGATTTTTTGCTCATAAACGAAAATTTTGTATGGAAGGTACCCCTAAATTGTATTGAAATTTCTTCAAACTTTCAGACTGTCGGCTTTTTGTGAAAATAATACCCTGTGCAAAGTTTCACGTCGTTACAATATCTTACAGGCATTGATTCCATACTAAAATTACCATTTTTAGTAATTTTTGTATAAAAAGTGTGTCAAAAATTATTTGTATCGCAAAACTAATGTCAGATTCAGTTTTTCGTGAGTTCAAATTTTAGTAAAATATATGTAATAAATGCATGTTGTGGATCACAGGGCGGAAAAGTTCATCTTACGGATGTAAGACATTTTATTTTGTGACATGAAAGAATCTATTTTCAATAAAAATGATAAAAAAATTGCAAAACTTTTCATGGGAAATATTGAATCGGAACCGTTTTGTTTTGGATCACAGCATTGAAGCAAGAAGTAAAAGAAAACACTCAAACAAGTGCCGAAAAGTAGACTACATCCCAAGTGCTGTATCAATCATTAGATATAGGTCAGTTCTCTCAATTATTTATTTAAAGCCAGTATAAGTTCTCTTTATTATTTATTTACAATGCTTAATGCTGAGTTCATGCCTCGAAAAACGAGATTTCCACTTGATTTATTGACTCGTTTCAAGTTCAGCCTATCATCAATCAATTTTGTATTTATGCACAGATGACCTATAAAAAGATTTACAAACCATAATAAACAAGTACTATTTGATAATAGTAATCTCTTAGGAGAGCCGGACGTAAACATTTTTTTCGGTTTTCGAATGAAACTCACAAGTATTAATCAGAAATTTTATTGTGTTTATTTGATCAAAACAAAATTTCATTGTAATTAATTCTACAAAAGTAATTCTTTTAAAATAAATTACGTCAAATGAAAAATGTGGCTTTTAAAAGCTACAGTCTTTGCCGTTTTTTTGTTTCAACGGCTCACCAATAAATTTAATATTATTATACTTCATTTTAATTTGTTCGATGAATGTTTTCAAATATTTGCATGAAAATTGATTGTTTGAAATATCAAGTTCGAACAATTTGAGCCACTTTGCTGTTGAAAATCCGATAAAAATTTCCGTCAAATCATTTCCTTCCAAATGAAGTGAAAATTTGTCACTCTTATGATCGGCTGAAAACAATGCAGATGTAAGATTTAACCATTTCAGTTTATTGTTGGAGAGGTCTATCTCTTGTAGTTCCAATTGATCCTTAAAGATGCCAAAATCAATTTGTGATAAGTTGCCATAGCTCATATTAATCACTTGTAAGTTGAATGCATGAAAAGCATTTGCATTCAAAGTTTGTAAATTATTTCCCGATATATCGAGTTTCTCAAGCGATGGACCGACTTGTGCTATCAATTCGGTAACGTTCGTGATTTTACAATGAGCGGCACTTAGTGTTTTAAAATTAAACTTTTTTATGTTGTTCGATGTGGATTTGAAATTAGTATTTTTCAAATTATTGTACGAAATGTCGAGCTCAAATGGTTTCGAATCGTAAATATGTTGCAATATCTCCGGAACATTTTCGAGTTGATTTCTAGTAAGATTTAATTTTTGCAAGTTTTTCAAGTGACTGACATTTGAAATGTATTTCAAATTGGTGTCAATGATGGAAAGGAATCGTGTTCCATTGGTTAACACACCCAAGTCCAAATTGAAAGTCCTAAATTTCGTATTTTCTAATTTTAGATCAAATAAATTGTTCCATTTACTAAGCACATTGACATTCAACTCTTCGGTAAATCTTCCATGCAACTGTAAGTATGTCTTTTTTGCATTTGATGACCGGAAACACTTCAACAATTCCGTTGGATTTTCAATTTGATTGCTATCGATGTTAACATGAATTTCAGAATTTTCTTTTCCTTGCATTACTTGCGCGTTTATTTCGTCTTCTCTACAATGTAATTCGATTTTTCCACTTGATGAATTGCGAAAAATACCTTCTTCAGTCCGATTGGTGACAATGACACGTAATTTAGTTCCCTTATACGTTCCCAAGAGATTAGCATCATTGTCTCGCCACGAAACGTATACTGAAACCCCACTGTTTACTAGTGGCCAAATCTGATCTGCATTCAATTGTCTATTGTTTTCCAGTCGTATTGTTTCTAAGCTATCTCCAATTTCAAAGTCTACAATACGCGACAAGTCTATTGAATTATTACTCAAGTCCAAATACTCCAAATTCAAAAGATCATCATAGATGTAGGAAAGTAGGCCACGTATTTTGTTGTTCGACAAGTGAATCCAAACCGATTTAAGTGGCATTTCTCTCACTTTATCGATGTCTTCAATTAAATTGTGCGAAAAATCCACGTCATTGATGTTGGGCATTTTTGCGAAGAAATTTTCGGGGATATCTTTCAATTTGTTATGCGATGCATTAAATTTCACCAAATGTTTGTGCTGCAAATCAAGCGATTCCAACGACTCAATATTTGAGTACGAAATGTCCAATAAAAGTAAATTTGGAAATGATTCGGCATATCTCTTAATTATGGCATGATCACACCCAGCAATTCTCAATCGAACAACCTTCAATTTATCTCTTTCATCCAAAAGATCGAAGAATTTCTTTGCCGCATCAGTTTCGTTTAAATCCATACAACAAACTTCAATCGATTCAATTCTATTCAATGAATTACAGTCGAAGCACTCGTAATTTTGCTCACAGCATTTCAACCACTTGTATAGTCCGACAAGAAGCAGACCGAGAATGACCAAAAATGTTACTACACAACATGTTCGAAAACCGTAAGCCATGGTGACACTTTCTTTCAAAATCTTATTATTTTTAAACGAGAGATTTTCAAAGGCAACACATTTTCTGCAATAATTAGCTGTTCAAGCAATGCAATTTGTTGGTTGGCGTTAAGCTTGGAAATAATTGGAGTTTATTTTTTATTTGTAAATTATCACGCTTTTAATAATACTTCAAATGTCTGGTTCTAATTTTTTATTCAATAATAAATTACGATTTTACTAAAAAACTATTCAAAAAGAATAAGCCACAAGAACATTTTGATCAAGTTTAAGACAGTACATTAATGTTTTTGATTGAAATAAACAAATCATGTGTAGCTGTTCCTTTCACTTTTGAATACGATTAAATTTTTTGTAGATTGGCAGAGTGCCGGGGCACATCAATTGATAACAAGAACAGTAAATAATAAATGATATCACCACATACAGTACCCGTGTGGAAAAGAAGTGATGGTACTGCTTAGCTGAAATCAACTGAAATTGAATTTTGTTAACTTTGGCCGTTTGGTTAATATAAATCGCCTATTTATCCCATTTTAAGTAGACAACTAATTTGGGACGAAATTGACTTAACTTAAGTCAACTGTGAATTGTGATTGAAGTTGATTTAAGTTGCTTTTTTCTCTACTGAAATCGACTGAATAATCAAACAAATCAACTTTTTTTTAAATCTCAGTTGAATTAAGTCGAAAACATCCCAAATTAGCTAACTGACTAGTCAGTCAGTGATTATGCCCACGGGAGCTGAATTGTCCGTTAATCGATAATCAGTTCGGATGTCGGTACCATGCTTGAGAGAAAATCTAGGTCGTACTTTAAATAATGGAAAAAACGAGTAAACAAGCAAATAACAAATACATATTCTAATCGCAAACATATCGTAATTGTTGAAAAACTGCCTGATTTTAGTAGAATTTAAAAAATTCTCGTTTTAATCGATACAACACTTGCAATGTCCAAGTTCAAAAAGTAAAAATACACAGATTAAACTTACGCCAAAAAGTCGACTACAACAGTTTATGAAGAAATGCGACTCAGAATAGTCGCTATTGTTGAATCGCAATGAATGGCTAGTGCATTCAAATGTCTTAAAAATGTTTATTTTTATAATAAAACAAGATTAACAGCTGATTCA